AACCCTGAGAAGAACAGAAAGGCGCCTTGCAACCCGACCATCGCTGGCAGATAAACACAACGAGCTGATCCAGAAGCTAGTAGATGCTGGTAACGTCAGAATCCTGGCAGCGGAAGATGCTGCAAAGTCTGAAGAATCCTGGTATATTCCGCATCACACAGTCGAACACAACGGGAAATTTCGCCTTGTGTTTAATTGCTCCTTCCAGTATCAGAACCAGATACTCAATAAGCACCTACTTCCTGGTCCATCCCTCGGTGCATCGCTCCTTGGGGTACTGTTGCGTTTCCACCAACATGCTGTAGCAGTGTCAGGGGACATTAAGGCAATGTTCCACCAAGTAAGATTGCAGCCCACCGAGAGATGTCTCTTCCGCTTCCTGTGGAGAAACAGGAAGACCGACACCGAACCCAAGATCTATGAGTGGCAGGTACTACCCTTCGGAGCAACATGCAGCCCCTTATTTCGCCACTTATGCGCTACGTAAGCATACCTTTGATCATCGAGAGAAGTCTGTTGAAGTTGCTGATGCAGTGGATAGATCGTTCTACGTCGATAACTGCCTAGTCAGTGTACCACATGAAGACGAAGCCAAGACTCTCGTCCACAACATGCGTGACTTGCTTGCCAAGGGTGGTTTTGAGATTCTTCAATGGGCCAGTAATGTACCCAACGTTGTAGCCGATCTCCCTCCTGAGGCACGTTCAGATGGCTGTGATCTCTGGCTGACGTTTGGAGAGACAGACTTGGCCGAACCCATGCTCGGACTCCAGTGGCACTGTAGCTCGGATGATCTGCAATACCGGCACCGGGTAGTCAACTATGATTGCCTGAACATGAGAAACATGTACAAAACCTTAGCCAGCCAGTATGATCCAAATGGGTACCTCACACCATTCACTGCCAGAGCCAGAGTTATCGTACAGGACCTATGGAAGCCCAAACGTGACTGGGACGATGCCCTGGAGCCCGGAGAGACTATGGACCGATGGCGAACCTGGGAAAATGAGTCACCAAACCTGTCCGTCATGAAAGATGTTACACGCCCCCTGATGTCAACCCAGAAACAGCCAGTCGCCAGCTTCACATCTTTTGTGACGCGTCTGAGAGGATCGACGGTGCAGTCGCCTACCTCCGGACGGAAGATGAGAAGCATACCATACACACCAGCTTTGTAATGGCCAGGTTCCGAGTTGCGCGAAAGAAACAGCTCTCCATGCCCCGCCTCGAGCTCTCGGCCGCTTTGGCAGGGGCTCAATTTTGCAGTCTCCTTCAGCAAGAGTTGACTCTACCCCTAGAAGATATTGTTCTCTGGAGTGAATCTACGACAGTCCTGACATGGCTGAAGTCGGAGTCCTGTAGGTATAAAGTCTTTGTGGGGACCCGAGTGGCCTAGATCCAGACCCTGACTGAGTCGTCCAATGGCGCTACGTTGACACGAAAAATAATGCAGCTGATGATCTGACAAGAGGGAAAAGTATGCTGTCACCAGTCAACCCTGCAGATGGCGAGACGGGCCACCATTCCTATCCGCAAGCCCTATTCTTTGGCCAACCTTCCCACCTGCCCTAGCTGAGGATTCCTCGGAGCTGACGAAATCCTCCCTCTGCGGTATAGTGACCGTGGAACTGGCTGACAAATCTATTGATGAGCTCATCGAAGCATCTAAGCAGCTCTGTGACGGGGCGGCGAAGGATGATCCTGTCGTGTTGCACTAACAGCTGATCAGCGAGTAGAAATTGAGCTTCACCTATTCCAACGAGCCCAGAAATCCAGTTTTCCCGAAGAGTGGGGTGCCCGCAAGGGTGGTAAGGAGCTCCCTCGAGGAAGTAGACTGCTGCAGCTCTCGCCAGAGTGGGATGGAGATGACAAATTCATCAGAGTTGGGGGCCGGCTGCGTCATGCTGAAGGAATCCCGCTCTTCACCAAGCATCCAATTGTGCTCGACCCTGCACATCCTGTTACTAAGTTCCTTATTCAGGACTTTGACCAGAGACTCGTGCACTATGTTCCAGGGCGTGTCCATGCAGAAATCAGAAGAAGATTCTGGATTCTGCGTGGTCGACAGGCTGTCCGCAAACATCAGCGTCAATGTTTTGACTGCCAGAGGTGGAGAGCCACTCCAAGTGTCCCTAAGATGGGGGATCCTCCTTCTGCCAGCCTCCGCATCCAGCAGTCACCATTCTACTCCACAGGCGTTAACTGCTTTGGGCCGAAGACCGTCAAGATAGGCAGGCGAACAGAGAAGCGTTGGGGCATCATTTTCAAATGCATGACAACGAGAGCAGTGCATTTAGACCTACTTGAGAGTCTTGACACCGATGCCTTTCTGATGGCTTTCCGAAGATTCGTCTCCCGAAGGGGGAAGCCGTATGGAACCAACTTTAAAGGGGGTGCTTCCGAGCTGAAGGAAGCCTTCTCAGGGATGGATCCAGCTCTACAGCATGAGCTTGCCAAACACCAAGTAAGATTTCGTTTCAACACTCCAAATGCCCCGCATTTCGGAGGATTGTGGGAGAGAGAGATCAAGTCAGCCAAGTATGGCCTGCGAGTTGTACTCAATGATCAAACGGTACCAGAGCAAGTCCTTCGCACAGTACTCATCGAGGTCGAAGGAATTCTCATCTCGAAGCCTCTTGGCTACACATCCTCAGACATCGGCGCAATTGACCCTGTCACACCAAATGTCCCTCTGATGGAGCGCTACGACCCAGCTTTACCTCAAGTTGTCTATCCAGCCAAAGACCTGTTGGGCAGACGTCAGTGGAAGCATAGCAAAGTTCTTGCAGACCACTTCTGGACCAGATTCTCCAAGTTCTACCTACCTTCACTTCAGAGTCGTCAGAAGTGGCAAAGAGATGTGGTGGGATTGTCCAAGAACGACGTCGTCATGATCATTGACCCGAATCTCACTCGGGCGCAGTGGCCTATCGGCAGAAATACTGAAACCTTTCCTGGACCTAATAGTCCCCGAGATGAGCAACAACGATGAACTCAAGGACGCTCCGACCTCATAGGTTGATGAACAGTTGGATGGTTTCACAAGATGCTTTATTTTGTACTTATACATTTGTTTCCCAAATTTAGGGGCGGCTGTGTCAGAAAGTAGTAGCTATATTGATTGTGCTGACTAGCGCCCTCTTGTGGTTTGCATATTCATTTGGCTTACTGCTGGATAGCATGTAGGGCGCCCTCCATAATATCCTTATTTTCCAATCACATTTTTGTCTGTAACTTCCGTTCCAGCATTTGATCCAAACTTGACCTGTTTTCCCATTTATAACAAACCAGGTTGCCTAAAATCCCGTTCCTAGTTATCCCATAATCATCCAAGATAATTTCTGTGCGTGATTTTGAATAGCTAGTACATTTTTTATGCTTTTATGGGGACCTTTCTGGGGTGATTTGTAACTGTCTGATAATCATTTTTAAGTACATGTGTAATAGTGATAAAAACATGTACATGTCTACAGTGTTATAGGGTCAGTTTTGCCCACTTAGTAATGTTAAAGTGTTATTAGTCTTAATTAAGGCTATAATTAGTTCCATAGTGATTAAGTGTTGAAGCTATTTACACCCAATACCCATTTGTTTACCTTATTATCCATGTAACTCTAAAGACATGTAGGCCCATGTTCATGTACATGTAGATCACATGACCCCCTTAATTCAAAATTACATGTAATTTGGACACAGCACGCAAAAGTATGGATGCACTAGGGATTTCCATTTATTTCCTTCCTTATTTTGTTCTTTATTTAGAACCACGGGAAAATATCACGGGAAATCTCACAGGGATAACTTTCAACCTCATACACGGGATTAACATCAGAGCAGGGTGGATAAGCTGGCACTATAATTAAGTGGTTCACTTTCATCCAACCGGTTTACATCATTCAATAAACAGTCAACTTTGGCTTGCAACCGGTCTCAACACCCTCACGTTTTTTCAACCTGTGCTACAAACTGGTTTAAATTCTCGTAAAACAACCCAAAAAATGAAGACCTTACACCCTGACATGTATACGGTTAGGCCCTCCTCTTTTTGGAAAATGGATAATTTGCGACAAACGTGTGCCTATTTTAATAAACGTGGAGTAAAAATATCTAAAGACTGCAGCAAACCTGCCAGGGAAACTTGGCAGATTTAAAAGTGCAATGCAACGATATAAGCCAAAATGTACGCCGCTACTAAGTAAATTAGTCTGTTCTACAAGAGCCAAGGCATCGAAGAAAATTGGTTTGGTTTTCTTATTTGTCGTCGCATTGCTACGGTATCTGTGAAATTCTGATCTAAAATCACGTTTAAGTTATATTTCCATTATCTGTGAGTGCCAATTTATCAAATGATACTGGTTTCGTTCTTGTTCTCAAAATGTTGAATACGTGCAAAATTGGCCCCATTTGGCATGGTCCCAATGAGCCTCGGTCTGATCTAGTAAAATTAAAAAACCGGCCATTCTGTGATCATTTTAGATGATGCTAGGCTGTTAGACAATCATGGCTTTGTTCCCGAAATTTGGATTAAATCCAATCCAGCTTTCAGTCTTATTAACCTCATATTGTGACTTTCACGAGTGTACAACCGTGTATACACAGACAAGCTACTCGAAAGCGACCGTTGAAAGAACTCTCACGATATGGAAGCAATGAATGTTGCGACTTTTTATAAAAAAAAATACAAACAATCAATGAAAATCCTGTAAAAGAAATGAACAGAATAACACCGGAAAGTCATGGCAAGCACTATTAGCTTTGATACAGGCAACTAAGAAAATACATTTCCCAAACACCAATATATACATAATCACGATAAAGAAATATAACCATCAAAGTATAATTTCAATTAAAAAAATAGTGTATAGTAGTACATATAATAGGTTCTACTTTAGTTGCTATAATAATTATACACTCTAAAAAGTCTCGGGTCAGATTTGACCCGGAAAAGGGTCATGTGGGCCCTGACCCTTTTCCGGGTCAAAAATGACACTTTTCCGGGTCAATACACGTCTTGTGCACAGAGCAGAATTGCCATTTTTACATATGAATAATTAATTAGCTATAATTCCGAAACCCTTGACCTATAGTGACGAAATTTCCTGGGTATGTTTATGAAGAGTTGCTCTATGCATGTTCCGAGTTTCAGTTTCTTTCGTCACTCGATGTCCGCGATCTTGGGGGGGGGAGAGAATTCCTGGGCTGAGAGATGGTCAATTGAAAATAACCCGGCCCTTTTAGAGTTTAGTAGTAGAAACATCTGGTGGGTTGGTAGTTATGCTGGAAAACTGGTAAAACAATTGTGAAATAAGGCGGAAATGGTGTTAATTATTTGGGATCGTTTGTTCCCAGCTTGCTATGTTTATGTTAAGTTTATTATCAATGTCACTCATTGGAATGTTTTAAAGCTAGTCCCAAATTAATTTGGTCTAAGGGTCCAATGCCGTAGTCACTCGAGTCAATAATTTGGCGAAGGTGGAGACTGAAGCAAGTCTAATTCACACGTAAATTGTCTGTACGTCAGTCAGTTAATTAGTGAGATCTGACCAGCAATAGGTGACTTGGAGGAATTATTCAGCAACGCCCGTCACACATCACTGGAAATAAGTGGCTTCTGTTCCTCGTTAGTTGCGTTAGCCTCCATCTCTAGCCGTGATCTCGGGACCCGTCTCCTGTAAGGTCACACAATATAGAATTCTTACCTATAAGCAGTACGGGGGGGGGGGGGGGGGGTTAAAAAAAAAGTAAACCCAAATGGTGCCCACTATTGTTGAAGAAATTTCGCATGTAGCGCGCAAGATCAAGGATGTCGTAAAGAATCATTCAAATCCTTCATGTTCTTTTCCGGTTATGAATTTTCAAACACAAACACAGTTTATAATTTGTCCAAGGATCACAATAAAATAAGTTATATAATCATTTCAGCAAAACAAAGAGCCAGATTACCTATGAAACAAAATCAGAAAACTCTCATAACCATGATAACTGGCACTTATCATAACCTTTATTTAAACACCTTCTATGACCAATGTTGAAAGAACATGTCAAGAGTTTACCGTCTTGTTCTGCCTTTTACTGTACTACCGGGTACCCCGGAAACCTTTAATCCTTGGACAACAATACACGAGTGTTGTGAATGATTGTTTAACTAGACAAAAGCTTATTGGTTTCAGGAGTACCAGCGAGGTTTTCAGAAACTCAGTATAATGTACATAGCGACTCAACCAAGACTAAACTCCTTCGTTAAGTTCCATTAATTATGCAGCTAATAAGGGCGCTTGTTTTATTACAGTGTACTCACCCTTTGCCACAGCGATACTCCCAGACTCCAAACAGACACACCACGATCAAGACAATGATTAAAACACCAGCAAGAATTGTAGTCGAAAAAGCAAATCCATAAATCTCCGTCAGGGCGCCCCCAAGCAAGGGCCCTATCAAAGACCTGTCCACAAGAGAATGTTGCAGTTGAAAGGAGCAACTACTTTTGGAGTATCATGCTTCAGGAACAGTATCAACATTAAAATAATCATCGAAAGTATCACCATCAGCGACAGTAAAACAGTGAAAGGCAGCAGCAGCATTATCACAAGCATCACAAGTAACAGAAATCGCACTTACTGCAGCAGCAACCAAAACAACAACATTAACAGTAAACCAAAAAAGGACACTGATTATCCAGATTATCTGCAGAAACCATAGAGTTATATTAAAAACAAACTAGAGAGCGTACTCATCACCTGACCCCGTGCTTGCAAGGACGCACGGACGCCATTTTGTAAGTGGGCAAAGTACGTGCGCAACAACACATAACGTTAGGCAAAACAGCACGGTAAAACAAAGCATCGTCGGTGGGCTGGGGGGATTTATAAGTAGAACCAACAGTAAAAAATGAATAAATAAATAAATAAAATTACATTTCTCTTGAAACATTTGCTTATCTGAACAGAAATTATTCCACACTGGCAGACTTGCTGAATTTTCCTGTGGATTGCGTTGTTTATTTTTTTTTTTTCATTTTCATTTTTTGGACATTACAGGAGTTCCATCACGTCTGTTTGCAGCGTTAGCTGCAATAAAACCTGTTAATCTAGGAACCTTAACATTCATGAGGTTTTATTTTTCTCAGTGTGCACAACACTCTGAAGCTTTTCTATTTTGCATTCGAATTTTCCTATTTGACATGGTATTTAGAAATGTTACTGAGCAGTTAACACGTTAACTTGAAAACAGAAAAATCATCAGCCAAAATAATGTCTCTCAAGATGACTAGTTGCACCCCCTCCCCCGATTAGTTTCATGTTCCTAGCTCTACAAACATGAAACAGCCTGAGGGCTGTAAACGGCAAACACTGCGAAAGATACGCATTGCAGTCAATCCTGAAGGGTGCACATCCAGGTATTTTTTGCCCACTTACAAAATCGCGGCGAGGTCTACAAGGTGGCACGTCTGCATTGTGCGTGTGGTATAGTGAATGTGCCTCTACTTTTTTTTTTTTTTTAAATTATAACTTTATTGCAGAAACCAATCAGCAAACGTACCCGACTGAAAATGCACCCAACCAGATGCCAGATATTACGGACGTCAACCCAAGGTTGTTAGGAATACCATACCATCTGTTGAGGTAAATTTATTATAAAAAAATCGTCAATACGATTACCCTGTAGATATTCATCAATGTTTTTGTATGTGGGAAGTTTAACACGAAACATGGAGGTTCAACCTCGAGGCACCGCCTGTTTTATTTAGCATTATTTGGTAACAAAATCACTTTATATGCTATTAAAAGCACTGATACTATATCAAACGAAATTGGCAATAATTGTAACGAGTATTATGTAACAAATGGCGGTACTCTCTTAGAGTGACGCCACGAATATTGAATATGTTTTTTACTACAATCTACAACATGAATACAATTACTGTTGTTGGAGAGGTAAGATGGATGACAGTGACTTCACTTCTAACAGCCTATGGACTATACAGATTTTGTTTTATAGTGATCAGTGGCACTTACTCTGCTGAGCTGAACATGTCCACAAACGTCGGCATAACGATCAAGCTAATCATTATGGTGCCAGTGGGAATGACAAGAATAGCAAGCAGCTTGGAGCTGTAGAAGCAAAAACAACATCGGTTGTAGTTGCGAAGAACACCTCAAATGAGTCTTCAGCATCTTTACGCACAGTCATGGACTACAACTAGACGAAAACATGTTGCCTGTTTTGGACTGATACATTATACTTTTTTTGAATATTTATTTATACCATTTCAGGAAATAATGCGATACGGTTACGGAACGTTTCCCTAAATTGTGAAAGACAATAAGCGTGACAGGTTTAAACATTTTTGAGAGATAATGGCGGACACATACGGAGGGCACTATTAGGTTTGTTTGAACTCTTGTTATATTGTGTATTCACCGAAATTTACCAAAAACCAAATAGCGCCTTCCTGTTGTGCCCGCCATCATTTTCGAAAGGCTAAAAGAGATGCCGTAACTACTGATTTCACTTACGAGTGCATGTTCAGCAATGGCGACGGTCCGAGGAATAGGAAGAAAAGTGCGCTGCCAAATGCTCCGATGACGATCATAATTCGTGTGGCTTTCTGAAACCAACAAAATCCACATGTTCTAATAGGACCAACGTAATATTAAATGATCTTTAAACCTATTGGGGCCGGGACGGAATCCGACTCCCCTCAACTTTTTTTTCCGCGATACCTTTGAAGAAAACACATTTCGCGACCCAAGCTGTTTCGACTTTTGTAGCCTCGAGCCTTGCGCATCTTTGATACAAAAAACATAAAACTCAGACCACGGGTTGCTGCGCAGCGAAAAAAAAAATCGATGAAACTGAATTTCCCCATATACGTTGTGCACACAGAGCAGAATTATCATTCATGCATGTGAATGATTAATTAGCCATAATTCCAGAACCCCTTGACCTATCATCATGAAATTTCTTGCGTATGTTCATGAATAGTTGTTCTATGCACGTACCGAGTTTCATAATTTTCCGTACTCGATGGCCGAGATCTTGGGGGGGGGGGGGGAATCACCGCGGCTGTGAGATGGTAAAAAATAACCCACTCTTTTAGGGTCAAACGAGGCAAAGAAGTGGCGGTTCAACGAGGGGGGGGGGGGCTATTTTTGCCCACCATTTAGGGATGCAAGGACATTCCGACAAGATTGTCTAGCCCCCCCCCCAAAAAAAAAAATATTCCATAAAAAAAATGCACTAGCCAAATGTAAGAATGTGACGTACATGCGAACGGTCTCTCCCTAGATAAATAGTCGTGAGAAGGGTGCATTTGAATGTTTTAGTTAACATATGTGCCTGATTGTAAGATTTTATCAGCGCTCCCATTGGAGTTTTTTTAACTCTCAGAGAGGTAATGAGCATAAAACGCCCCACATCTATTTAGCCCCACCCTTGCTCTTACGTACCTTTGCGTCCGCAACAGCTCCCCAAATAACGGAGAAAATTGCGTAAGATAAACCGAAACCTAGAAAGAGTAAGCTGATCTGCATCACAGTGAAATCAAGCTGTATAAAAAGAAACACAAGAAAATCGGGAAACTAACATACAAGTATATACTATTTTGACAGTAAGGGAATTGCTAAGTGGGTATATTACGGGAAAAAAACCACCGCATTATTAATACATGTACAATGAATATCCATGCATGGCCGATTTATAGAACCATGACATCAACGAAATCGGTTGTTACTTCGCATGCACTACCTGCTTTATGCGTGCATTATGCATTTCGATTACCATCCAAACGTACCTTTTTTAAATAAACCGCTAATGTTGGGCTGATGGATGCGAAGCAAGTCGCGGCCACAACACCAGCCAGGAAGGCCACCCAAATGGCCGGTATGCTCAGAACTCGAATCATTGGACCAGACTCTTCTTTTCTGTTTCCTGATGACAAAAGAACCAATATAACCAAGTGCAACCCATTTCAAGACCATACATTTATTAATCGTTTTGCCAAAGCAAGATCTATGCGAAAATGTTTATCGCCTCAACTTTTTGAAACAATTAATACTTGTTTAGGCGAAATCATTGGATCTAGGGGGAACTCACCTGACTGAGGCAATAAGAAGAAATTGACGACATCTATTGCTAGAACAACCCCGCCCAGAACAAAGAACGGAAGCCTGAAGCCGCCAGCCTAGAGCCAAAAAAAATAATATTAAATACACTACTAATACTATTATAGGGCGACTTTCCCTAGACTTGTGCACAAACCTAAACCGTCACCTAGCCCAGGTTTACCTTATCCTTTCTTCTTTAAACCTTATCACGTTTGTTAACAATCAAGCAATCTTGTTAATCGTATGAAAAACCAAGCAGGTTTTTTAATGCTTGTAGCTTGGAAATGGCGTCCAATGAGAACAACATGGTCAATAATTAGATGACAAAATAATAAACTCAATATTGAGTTTGTCCTCCACCGGTTTATATTTTGTATAAACAGAATGAGCATATAAAAAAATGCATACATACATCATAAAGCACACCACCAATTGCTGGTCCGATTGCTAATGCCAGCCCTCCCGCCATCTCGACCAAGCTCTGTTTACAAACATGTTTACAAACGTGTAAATAATGCAGTGATCTTACACCGATCTTATGCACTAATCTAACACTGATCTAAGACCCATATTATACTGATCTTACGCCAATCTCACACTAAAACAACATCAATATTGCACTGATCTCACACTAATTTTACACCATTATTGCACAAACTTAACACCGACTACTTCACACCGACAACACATGAACCTCACGTATTTCTCACGCGCAGATCTCGTCTCACGCATCTCATAAACACCGGTTCACATGAATCGCACACCAGTCCGACACCGATCTCACTCTTGATTTCACACATTACACACTGACACAACATCAATTTCTAAACAATATCGTTGTCAGTTTTTACACCAGTTTTATACTGATCTAGCACCACAACTAAAGAGGTCACAAACAGATCTGTCCACGCATTTCCAGCGATTTACCACTGCTGTTCCGACGTTCTCGGGAAAGTTAAACGCCACAATGGCCGATGACGCAGTAAATGTGGCCGACGTGCCAAGCCCCTCCAAGAGCCTTATGGCGAAGCTGAACGCAGTGAAAGTTGCGTAGGTTGGCATGTCAATAACGAACCTGTCAAGCAAAGTGTCAATAGATGATTGATTCGCAATAAAGGACCGATTATAAGTCATCGAAGTGCATAAATTAAGCAGAACCGCCCACCTACGGCTTAATTCGTACCACTTAGCAGCAAAGAGCTTTTAAATGTTCCACCAAGAAATTGCTCACCCGAACAAGAGATTGCATCCACCTGTGACGAACGCTCCTGCCAGAAAAATGAAACGAGCTCCCAAAACAGGAATCTAGACAGAAAAATAACAAAACAAAATTGCTCGTTCATTTAAAAATAAGCTACAAAACCTCAACAGTATGAAAACTTCTTTTGGTGGAGTCTACTGCGTTTCTTTTTCCTTCAAATATTATCTTGTTTGCTTATCTTTTTTTTTTTCTTTTTCTTTTTTTTGGCTCATACAGCCTTTGCCATGTATTCATTGTAATGCCTCTGTCATCAGTATATGTTCCCTGTCTCGTATCTGCTTACCATTGTAATGTTTTGTTTGTCTGTTTGTTGATTTCTTGTTTGTTTGTTTGTTTGTTTGGTTGTTGTTTTTTGTCCTGTGTTGTTTCTGTTGGCTGTTTTCCACAAGCTTCTGCTTATTAAAACAGCCACATGCTCTATTTGCTTCTTTTATTTTGCAGTTGTTGTTGCCGTATGCGTTCAGCACGCTCTCTCCGCCAGCCACTCTAGGGCAGCTTCCTCGCAGTTGAGTAGGGCTTCGATTCCTCCGTCTAGTCTGGTAATGGGACATTCATTCACTATGTGATTCATTGTTTGAATCTATCCACAATCACAGCTTGGAGAGGCGGCGTATCCCCACTGGAACAGGCTGGCGCGACAGGGTCCAGCGTTCCCTCGATGGCGGTTGAGGAGTGACCACTGGCCTCGGGGAAGAGTTGTGCCTGGCAGTTGTTGAGTGGGGTCAGACACAAGATGCTTGTTCGGAACATCAGCCTCCTCCCATTTGGATCTCCAAAGCTGCTCCATGTTGGTGTTGTTGTCTGGAGTGGAGGTCCATATGGGATTTCTTGATCTCAGTCTGAGTCTGGGGTGGTCGTTTATATCGGTGTTGATGGAGAGATCTGGCATTGACGCTATTCTGGTTAATAGGTTTCTTGTGGCCATCTGACATCTGGCGGGGGGATGCTTAGGACCGGGAGCCAATCTAGTTTGGTGCATTGGACCGCAACAGATACAGTCCTCATGGCGTTGTTCAGCTTACATCGACTAGTTTGGTGTGAACATAGTTTTTTTGCCAGACTGGAGCACAGTACTCGGTGAGGCAGGGCCAAATTTAACTTGTAGTTTTTACTGTATTGCTTTTAGTGTTTACGTATAGGTGTAGCTCCCCTGCATAAATCACCCCCTTTTTTTAGATGTCCCCTACCCTTTCATGGAAGTGTGTACCCCTGATTAACTTTTCCCTCTTCCCCAGTAACATGATCCCTTAGAACAATTGCCCCTTTGATAAGACCATGTGCTCTGCCACCCTTTAAGTCCACAGCCCCTCACTTAGCAGACCAGCGGCACAGAAGAGAGTTCTGTTTTAATGGCGAGTTATTTCCTCTCTTCCCCTTTTCTTGGGAGCGCCTGCCCTGTGTATTTTGAGCTGCTATAGTCACCTGGTAAGTTTTATTGTGAAATTGTTGTTCTTTTATATTGTATAATCATGTTTTGAGTTCTAGTGCAGTTTTTGGAAGGTTTTTACTTAGTTATGGTTTAAAGTGTTTTCTTTTTCTTTGGAAAGTTTTTGTGAAAGTTTAATTGTGAAGCATTGAGATGTTACTGTTCCATGATGGGTCATGATTTGGATTCTGCACAATTATGATTTTTTCTGACCTTTTTGATATATATGGGGTAAGGACGAGTATTGTTTCGTATAGGAATTACGTTTCTTTGACAAGTTTTACAGTATGGAAGAATGTTTTTCATGAGTTTACATTTATTGAGTTTTGTTTTATATCTTTTGGTTCCTCTCTGAAAGATGACATGATTTGCTTGGAGAATTGATTTTTGTTGAGAAAGATTCATATTTTACCCCTAGAACATGTAGATTGAATGACTTTTTTAGTGTATCTCTACCATTGTTTAGGCTAGGAGGTATGACTTTCCCACAGATCTAGAGACCCAAGTGTATACATTCCTTTCTTAGAAGATCACCAGATGTTTATTCATGAAATTAAACTTGTCTTAGTCCCACTTCCTTCACTGCATTTTCCTTTATGTTTAAATCCACTTTCACCACCTGTTTACATTGAGGCTTAGTTTGATTGTCTTAGACTGGGTGAAGTCTAATTAGAAGTTATGTGGAACAGATAAGAGCCAAGGATAAGTACTCATTAGACATTCAGCCAGAAACTTGTGTTGCCATTGTGTATGTTGGGAAGTAGTGACCTTGTGTAACATGCTGTACATAATAGAGTTAGACTGCGCTATATAACCAATTTAACTTTCTGTTGATATATTTCTTTATTGTATTCTTTCTTTTCTTGTTGTTTCTTGATTTTTAGGTTTCAGTCAGAGTGCATTTAAGGTTCACTACTTTGACGCTCTGTGTTGTTTTTTTTAAAGGGAATATACATCATTTGCTTTTGCTGTAATTTTCATAAATGGATGGAATTGGGGGGTTGGAAATATAAAGCAAAAATAGTTACACTGACTTTTTTGAGGTTTTGTGTTTGAAAATGCTATAAAAACCAAGAAAAACGATCATTTTCCTGTAGTCTGGTTCCCTGACTCCATATAAGAAGAAACAGAGCCTTTAACATACATTGGGGAATTGTAAGGTCAGGGAACCAGTCTAGCTGGCTCGTACCCGTTCATAGGTTTGTAATCGATTGCAAACAAGTGTGATGGTCAATTGGGGCCAGTATTTGAAGAAAAGCCAGTTGTTTTCAACGCTGATCGGCCGATCAGCGTTGGAAATTGATACAAAAATACCACTTTTCTTGAAAATGACAGTATACCAGGTGCCATGATTTTACAGGATGCTTTACACTGTCATTCACTAACAGTCCAGCAAGGTATTTCAAAATGATTTGGTAGTTTTATTTTTTGATGTTTGCAAATGTTGTATTTTCCCTTTAAAGTTGGTTTTTAAGTTGGTTTTACTGTTAATTTTGGTTTTGGTTTTAGTGTTTTATCTCAGTTTTGTAGTTTTAACTTTTTTTTTTTTGGTCTCAACTTTGTTTCATTTTAAAATCCTTTTCTTAATAAAATAGTTCGCGACTTGTTCTTAGATCCTGGTCTTGTATTAAATTATTTGTGTCGAGTTGAATCCCCAAGTCAAGTGTGTCAATTTTCCAGGTTACATTTTTTTTTTACAGCAGAGTAGCAGAGGGTGAGAGCCGTGATGCGCAGGGTCTTAGCTGAGGCTCCCCACGTTGTTCCAGCTAGCATGTTGAGGAGGTTAATTTCTCGTCCTGACTGTCTTAAGGAGATGTGGCTTGAGGTATGTTGGCTGGGCATCATGTTTGAGGCGAGCTCCATTGAGGAAGATGTCCAGTTCTTTTGAGCTCTGATCATTGTGTAGGTGGAACACACGGGATACCGTCTTGGCTGCGCTAGGCTGAAGACGCAACCTCTTGCAGTAATAATATTAATAATAATAATAATATTGGACATTTATAAAGCGCAAACATATCCACCGAGGTGCTCAAGGCGCTATACATAATTGTATACAAGCAAAACAGCAGCAAAAAATAGGTAAACAAAATCAATATGAATTAATAAACAAACTAAACAAATTAAGGTAAGCAACGGAAGAGCAGAAAAACAAAATAAACATAAATGCAAGGGATTAATTGAAAGCTAACGACATGAGGTGAGTTTTGAGAGCTGTTTTGAAGGACTGAATGGTTTCTGAGGTTTTGATGTGAATAGGTAGCCGATTCCACAGACGAGGTGCTGCTACAGAGAATGACCTGTCTCCCCAAATACGGTGTGATTTTGGCTCATGTAGTAGATGCTTGTTACTGGATCGGAGAGTGCGGGAGGGTCTGTAAGGGGAAAGCATGTCCATGATGTATGAGGGGGCTTTGCCATTTAGAGCTTTGTAAACCAACAACATCATTTTATAGATTATCCGAAAGGAGAATGGTAACCAGTGTAGATTTTTCAGGATTGGGGTGATGTGGGAAGATTTTCTGGTTAATGTGACCACACGTGCAGCAGTGTTCTGAATACGTTGGAGCCTGGTAAGTTGTTCTTGCGGAAGACCAAACAAAAGGGAATTCCCCATATCTAGCCTCGACGTAACAAAAGAATGTATGATTTGTTCAGTTGAGTTGCGGTTGAGATATTATCTGATTTTGCTGATGTTGCGAATATGAAATGAAGCTGAACGAACAATGTTGGAGATTTGACTTTTGTGTGACAATGAAGAATCAAAAATAACACCCAGATTACGGGCTTGGCCAACTGGAGTGATATGGGAATCGCCTATACTAATGAAGGGAATATTGACTTTTGAAAGTTGTTGTGGGGAGCCATTCATCATAAATTCTGTTTTATCATCATTTAACTTCAAGAAATTATCTTGCATCCACTGTCGAATTTCACAAATGCTAGTCTCTATTTGAGAGATGCTAGAATCGGCTTGTTGTTGTGAGGGTTCAAAAGTCAGATATAATTGTGTGTCATCAGCATACATATGATAATGTAATTTGTGGCGCAAGATGATTTCTCTCAGCGGATAAATGTACAAAGTGAACCATTGCGGGCCTAGAACAGAACCTTGTGGTACAGAAAAATCGACAGAGACGGAATTAGAAGTAGCGTTACCTACACGCACATACTGCTGCCTGCTCTCAAGATAAGACTGGCACCACTGAAGAGCTAAACCCCGCAGGCCAACAATATCATGGAGTCTAGACAGCAGTATGGTGTGGTCCACAGTGTCGAAAGCTGCACTTAAATCAAGGAGGACAAGAGCAGTGATCTTTTGCTGATCTAATGCACTCAAGAGATCATTTTGAACATGCAACAGGGCAGTCTCAGTGCTGTGATTAGGTCTATAAGCAGATTGAAAAGTATCCAAGAGATCATTGTTCCGCATCACAGCAGACAATCTTGAGGACACAATTCTTTCGATTGTCTTACCCAAAAATGATAGGTTGGAGACTGGTCTGTAGTTCTTGAACACGTCCTTGTCTAAGCCAGCTTTTTTCAACAGAGGACGAACACAAGAAACCTTAAGAGACTCGGGAAAGGTACCAGTGGTGAAGGACTTATTTACTATATTGGTGATAAAGGGAACAATTTCATCAATACAATCCTTTAACAGACTTGTTGGGATAGGGTCGAGCTCACAAAACTTGGATGGGGAATTCAAAACTAACTTTTTAACCTCAGTCTCACTGACAGACTGAAAAACAGTAAGACGTGCCTCGTGCGAATAACACAGAGGGTCATTACTAAGTTGTGGAGAAAAACCATTACGTATGGTGAGAATTTTGTTGACGAAATATTCAGAAAAGTGTGTCGCTAGAGTGGCTTCAGATTCAGAAGATGGTAATATGGGCTTTTTACTCTTACTCAACAATTTATTGACAATGCAAAACAGTTTTCTCTGATCTCCTGAGCACTCATTGATTTGAAAAGAATAAAAATCAGATTTTGCTTTACTGATTGACTCAGTCACAATGCGTCTCTGAATAATGTAATTCTGCCTGTGGATTTCGAGCTTGGAACGACGCCATCTTCGTTCGAGTTGTCGTCGAGTGCATCTGGCAGCACGAATGTCCTCATTGAACCACGGTTTGTCTGTTCGTACTCGAACACGTCGGGTGCGAAGGGGGGCATGCTTGTCCAGCAAACCGCCAAGTGCTGACTGATATTTACCAACACAGGAATCGAGGTCGACACTCTCGAGGTTGATGTGAGTAAATGCCGATGCCACGTCATGGCGAAAGTCTTCGATGTTGATCGACTTCAATCGACGGGTGGATATCACTGTGGTGGGAGAGGCTGGTTGATTAAGTTGAAGTTTAGCCACAATAGCAAAGTGGTCAGAGAGACCCGGATGAAGGTGAAGGTCCAGAATTAGTGGTACATTTTCACGCGTGATCAGCAGATCTAAGCAGTGACCATGGCGATGAGTGGGCTCGGTGATATGTTGAACTAGACCGTATGACGTGATGAGGGTGTTGAACCGATCTGCAGCAGAATCTTGAGGGTTGTCAACATGAATGTTGAAATCACCTGTAATTATGATGTCGGATGGGTGCGAAAGATACAGCTCAATCATGTTCTCGAACTCATGAAGGAATGAGGTTACACTGATGTGGCGACCAGATGCATCTTTTCCAGGGCGATAAACGTTCACAAGCCGAACTGATCTGGAGTTGGATGTGATTTCAGCGTGAAGGGATTCAAATGTAGTATATTCTCCCATGTCAAATTTTAAAGTTACAGATAGGCTGGACTTAAAGAGAAGTCCGACCCCTCCTCCTTTTTTGTGAGGTCTTGGGACGTGTTGAAAAGTGTAACCAGCTGGTGTTAACTCAGCGATTGTCATATCATCCCCAGATTTCAACCAAGTTTCGGAGATAGCAACTATGTCCAAATTGTTTTCAAGAACAAATTCCACAAAGTCAGTAGCTTTATTTCGGATGGACTGGACATTCAGAGAAGAGAAATGTAGGTTTGATTCGATGTGGGGCGCCAAGTTTCTCAGATTTGCCAAACAGACTCCATTTTTCTCAGTGGAAGGTTGCTTCCGCCGTTCAACTGAGCACACCTGTATTTTTCGTTGTTTTCTTCTGCCGCCACGAACACCTCTATGGGTAGGGGGTCGCCTATTAACCCTTAGGTGTACCAGATTTTTCCATAAATCAAGAGGTAAAGCACCTATTTTGGTGTTTTTGCCACTGAGTAGTTGGGATATGTCGTAATGGTGAGCAGTTTCAGTTTGGTTGGGTTGAATTTCTCTGTGCGCATGGTTGACATCCCGATCAGGACCGGGATTAGAACTAACGTCGCCACAAGACAGTAACTCAATAATTAAAGGTGGCCAATGTATTGCAATAATAGGTAACTCTGATCTTCAAGTAGCCCTTGGATTGCCACTGCAGGTTGAGTCTGTAACTGGACTTCAAATCACTAAGTGAGACGTTCTGCGAGTTCAGGCAAACACAGACACAAAGGCCAAGTAGGAGGAACAGTTTGCGCAAAGCCATTGTTCGAAAAGTCACTGTTACCTAATAGTTATTGTGAGACAGGTATCATCCCTTTGTTAACAAATCGGCGGACAGTGGCGTCTTGTGGATCCCATTGTTCAATGACAGTCCAGATGGACAGAGTCAATGGTGGATCCGTGTATCTGCTTAGTGCAATGTACATGGAGTCAAATCAAGAACCAAGAAATGACGAAAAAAGATAGTTACATTACTGGCATCGGCGATCTTCATTATCCAGTAGAATCCATGGTATATGCATAAACAGTTGGATGTAGAGGAAGAGCAGAATCATGTGGCAATCATGGTCAAAAATGAGAAATTAATCGGAGCACAAATTTCGTGTGTGGCAGCCTGTTAGGCGCTCACTACCCTTGTGAGTACTCTCTGATGGTGATCATATCAGCGTTCAGGACAGCATTCAAGGCTGGGAACTGCTCTGATTGTGTTGCGATGCAGATTTCATCCGCATAGATGAACTTGCGACTGGTGGTCTGGGGTAGGTCATTAGTGTACAGGTTGAAGAGTGTGGGCGCTAGCACAGATCCTCGAGGAAGGTCATTTCTCTAGTGTCTCCAAGTGATGTTAGCATCTGCCATATGGACACGGAATCGACGGTGTTGTAGCAACAGCTCGATGGCCTTCACTGCCAAGTGAGGCAGTTCTCTTGCTCTCTTCGTCAGCAAGCCCTTGTGCCAGACAGTGTCGTAGGCGGCAGTAAGGTCGAGCAGCACGAATGCAGTCTTCTTTCGTAGTTGGTATCCGTTCTCGATGAAGGTGGTCAGTGCAAGTACTTGGTCTGGTGTACTCCTTCTGGGTCGGAATCCTGCCTGGTCTACACTTAGAGTGTCCTCAACGGTGGGCTTGATACGCTGCAGAATGATCCGTTCCAGGAGCTTGTAGCACATAGATAGCAGAGAGATGGGACGATAGCACGATGCTTGCTTCAGGTCTTTCCCAGGCTTTGGGATTGCGATCGTTTTGGCCGTTCTCCATATCTTTGGCATGTTGTTTTCTGCAATGATGCGGGTGAGAAATGATGCCAGCCATTTCTTTACAGTCGGACCAATGTGCTTCAGGAACTCTGGATGAAGATTGTCATAGCCTGGGGCTTTGCCATATTTCATGCTCTTGATGGCCTGGTCAGTTTCTGCTACTGTGATCCCGGTCAGAATCCCGACTTTGATGACACAAGCATAGATATTGACATTAGAAAGATATTTGGCCATAAGGCCATTGCAGATTTGTCCTTTGAATCAATATAGTTGGAATCACAAACATTTTCAAAGTTTTTAAAAAAGTTGCATTGAATTACTTGTTGTTTCACCTATATTTGTTTTCAACTCTAAGGACTGTGTGCCAATTTCAATGCTTAGATCATGAAAGGCACAATCCCATTATCTCTCTGCCCAAACTATTAACTCCAACCACCAATGGGTCATTTGAATTATATAGAATCTAGTTGAACTGAGCATCATGGTTATAAACAACAAAATGTACACTCGACGTGATCTGCATGTAGACCAAGTGAAACAAAACCCTGCCTTTCGGCGATGCTTTTTTTGTTATAATCAGAGTTGTAATGACTCGACTCGAGTCCGATTCGAGTCACATTTTTGATGACTCGACTCGACTCGAGTAGGGCAAATGACTCGATTTTTACTGCGAACAAATACCTCGACTAGACTTGACTCGAGTCGAGTCGAGTCATCACTGCGAACAAATGACTCGACTCGACTCAACTCAATTCAAGTCGACTTCCTCATCAGAATGACTCGACTTGACTCGAGGAAGGCTAATAAGACTTAAATCCGAAACATAACAGCAAGTCTATGAAAAAAAAAATATTTATAATGACTTACGCCGGTGCCGGATTTTGTTCAGAGTCAAATGCAGGGTCATCACATGTAGTAGCCCGAATGTAAAAAAAAACAAAAAATTCCTTCTCTCTTGTGTTTTATTTATTGTATAGTGTTCAAATATCTGTGACTCACATTGACTCGAGCTAAATACTTGACTCGACTCGACTCGAATCGACTGCACATTCTGACTGGACTCGAGTGACTCAACTAGAGTCACTTCTTTAAAATGACGCGACTCGACTCGAGTCATAAAAATCAGTGACTCGTTACAATTCTGGCTATAATGAAGTCAACTTACAATTTTGCCCCAAATTGGTGATCCAATTCCTGAAGAGAAGGCGAATGCGCTAAACACCAGTCCAATTACAGTCGGTGACATCCCTTTTGCCTTTGCCTGTTAAGTGTAAAGTAGTATCAATAATAATATAGGTTTTAAAACTTATATCACACGAATTCCTCGATTTCGTCCCGAACATGGCAAGCTCAATTCTCAATTTAAATTTGAAAAAGCCACCACAAGATTTCATTTAAAGGGAATAAACAACATTTGCAAACATCGAACAATAAAACTACCAAGATTTTACGAAATACCTTACTAGGATGTTGGTAAATGACGGTCTAAAGCATCCTGTAAAATTATGGCACCTGGTGTCAAGTCATTATCAAGAAAATGGTATTTTGTATTCATTTCCAACGGTGGTCGGCCGACCACCGTTGGAAAAACTTAAACTATTTTTCAACTACTGCTCCAAATTTGCAATTTTTTTAAGTCCAAATTTTGTTTGCTTTTGGTTACATGTTCATGAACGGGTGCAGGCCAGCTAGACTGGTTTCCTTACCTTACAATTTTCCGACATCTATAAATTGATCCATTTTATCTTTAGTGGAGTCAGGGAACCAGACTACTGAAACATTTTTGTTTTTCTTGGTTTTTCAAGCATTTTCGAACACAAAACGTCAAACATGTCAGTTAAACAATATTTGATCTATTATACTAACCCCTCAAATAGTTCATTTCTGAAAATTACAGCAAAAGCCAATGATGTACATCCCCTTTAAGGTTCAGTATAATTCAAATTGTTATCACACCGATTCATCCTGAGTTTGTGAAATTCGTGTCGTGTAGCAATAATCGGCGTTGTATTGAAAGAGCAAATTCGTTTTTGTCATTCCTTTTAGTGTTGTCATTACATTTCGTTTCTGGTGACTTAACATGTTACGATTAATAAATATGTTCATGTCAGAACAAAGGTTCACGAACTTTAACATTTCAAGTACAACCAATTAGTTTGTTAAAAAAATTCATCTATTAAAACCTTAGCCGCAGTCAGTGTGAATAAAATCACTTCCACATTTCTTTGTTTTTTATTGTCCCAGCCAGGTGGTAGCCATGCCCAGGTCATCTATCACTAGATCCTAGTATGGACCATGGTACATCCACTAGAGGGGGTGTCAGTCTTGTAATCCTACTGGAGGGGTTGGAAATTGGCGGGGAAAACCTAGTGTGCTTGTGCGCATTTACATAGGCTTGTGTACAAATGCATTGTTCACATAGGGATTACCTCGATCACCCCCGAGACCAAAATGGAACTGTCTAATGGCATTGAGGAGGTTAGTGTCTGGTTTTATTGACTGTTTGGGCCTTAGGGATACCAGGGGTTAATCTGGGGTGAATGGAGGACTTTCAAGGTCAAATTACATTGTGTCATGGATTGATTCGCAGCAGGCGTCTGATATCTGCCAAAAATTGGCACGCGAAGTGTTAATACTAGGTACGATACATTTTAGTATTCATTTAAGGTATACGTACAAGTAATGTCCGGTTTGATAACGAATTTCCTTCGCTCATTTTTAAAACTAACTCTACAGACTGGGCCATATCAATCTAAACACATTTAAAACCCCGGTTACGACATTGGTCAAAACAATGAGGGGAATGCTGATTTAGTTCAAGGAGAATACCTGTTTATCAGTAAGTACAAAATATCGCACGGAAATATAGCAATTGTAAATTCATGAACAGGTTTCCCGGTTATTTTAACACTTGTATCACACGAATTCCTGATAAAGATACTTAGCATACCGATTCGTCCTAAATTTGTGAAATTCGTCTCGCGTAGCAATCAGCGTTGAATTGAAAAAGCGAATTCGCTTTTTTTGTCATTTGTGTTTTATGTTATTGTCATTACGTTTCGTCTCTGGTGACTTAAAACGTTACGATTAAAAATGTGCCCAATATGTGGACTTATTGAAAGAATTGTGCGTAGTAAAGTTTAACTTTAAAAAGTAATTCCTTATAAATGACAGAAGCTAGCTGTAAGATTTGATATTTGTTGTTGACAATTAACATTAGAATCAGGAATAGAACTTCTACATTAATTATGCTCTTTGCTCAGCACATGGAAATTAAGCATTAAGGTCAAACACCTTTGTAATGTTGATCGTTGATATACATGTATATGAATAAAACAACGGAAATAAAGGTATGTCTACCAAAGAGCAACAATAGGAAGGTATTTGACCTTAATGCTTATAGTATCCATGCCATAAGTAAAGTGCATATTGTGAGGGAAATGTCTATACCTGACTCTAATGTTAATTGTGAAACACAAAAATAAAACTTTGCATAACTACTTTTATTTATGCATATCAGAACATATATGTAGAAATTATAATTGTGTTAATGGGCATAATTCTTCCAAAATGTTTAAAGATTGGGTGCGCACTTTCTAATCTAAGTCACCCGAAACAAAATGTAATGACAAAAACAATTTATACGAATGACAAAAAAAACATGAATTTGCTTTTTCAAGTCAACACCGATTGCTACATGAGACAAATTTCGCAAATTAGGACGAATCGTGGTGCCAAACAAATTGAAGGAATGAGGAATGTGTGTGATACAAGTCGGGAAAACCTATACATGCACTTACAATTTCTATATTTCCGTGCGATATTTTTACTTAATGATAAACAGGTATTCTCCTTGAACTAAATCAGTATTCCCTTCCCTTGTTTGACCTTTATCTAATAAGACCCAACTTCCGGTTAGATGACGTCATGGTATTTGCAAGCAAACGGTTATCAGTAATTAAGTGTAACATATGTCATTATTTGGGCTAGGTACAAAGTTATGACACAGGGAGCAAATGATGGATCTAAATTAACAAAATGATCATTGTTAAATTATCCGGTCTGATGAAGTCATGATCATAAAACCTTGCAAATTCATTTGTGGTTGCTCACAGAATATATAGGGGCAATCTGATTGAGGATTTTAACATTTGAAAAAGTTAAACTCTTTTTTATATGCCGCTCGAGGGCGCCATTTCGGGGATGACGTAAAGATTATGTTTTTTTTTTTAGTTTTGCATTCCTCACTTAACAATTCCATAATGTATGTATCTGTAGTAAACTGATTTCGTTTAAAACTTAGATTCAATTACTTTTGGACTTCCGGTAACATTGGAAGTATTCGTCAAGCTGTTTTGTACCCGGGTATAAGAAATGTTGCTCAACGCACCGTCTACAGCGCCACAAAAAAATGAACACTATACTCTATTTAGTTCGAGAGATATAGCTCAAAAATATTTTTTTTCAACTTGTGCCAATAAACTGCTTGTAATTTGAAAACCAAATGACGTCATGATGACGTTTCAAAACATGGTACAAGTTCACTCTAGGTTTAATGATCATCCCGTAAACCGTCCAGAAGGAGTGTTGCTTTGTTCTAATTTCAGGTTAATTTCTTCATTTTGAATTCAACTATGTTTGACCTTCCGGTATATCCTGAAGAAAAGGTCAGTACGAGTTCACATACACGACAAAACAATGTTTATCAATTAATAGTCTATCTGATTACAAGGTTGGGACATTATTGATCATTACGTTCAAGAGTTATAGGTGAAAGAACTTTGCGGTCTAAAATTCGAAAACAGTCAACATTGAAAATGTCAAACCATTTTGTTCAACAAACACCTCTCTAGCTATAATTGGATTGTCCGGCTCGTGAGTAATACGTAAACCACTCCAATAATAAATGACTAGGAGATGCAGCTGTGGAGAGTGCGTTGTGAATTAAGGACTATGAAATACTGACTCACCGCAGTATGGCAGTATTGCACATGCCTACGTGAGTTTTGTGAACGTTCAACCAATGAACTGATAACAGGCACTGGATTTTATAGGAGTCCAAATGTTATGTGACACTGGAAAACTTCTTAAGACCAGCCAGCCATGTCTTTATCATCCGTTTAAGAACGGCCACTTGACGACCGGGCTCTCACATGGGAATAGGTAAATTACCTTAGGTATTTATGAATTAAGCATAAAAGTGGACACTGCTTACAACTGAGAAATGAAGTTGCCACAAAAAAGTTAAGCCGAGATTGCACGTTACAGGCTTTGGCCCACGGCCTATCAGGACCAGACTTCGAGGAACACACGTGTTCATTATTCTATTTTTGGGAGACTGTTTTAAAGACATACAGTCGTGGAGCGTGTTTTTGTTTGTGTTGGGGTGTTTGTTTGTTTGTTTGCTGGGGTGTTGGGGTGTTTGTTTGTTTGTTTGTTTGTTTGTTTGTTTGTTTTTTTTTTTTGGGGGGGGGGTGGGGGGGGTAGTCTGAGTATCACCCGTTATCCACGGAGCCAAATCCTGTATAACGTCTGACATCTCCTGACATGCAAATTTATGCAAGCCCGCACGCTAGCCAATCGGAGTCGACTAAACTAAATCGTGACGTCATTTCATTCCCAAATCAGGACTAAATGTGTTTTTTTTGGTCAATTCAAATGCAGTGTTTTGTAATACAACAACAACTGGCACCATATCGCCTAACATGATACAGAGTGCGTAACACTTTTCTTGTTTAATCCATTGTCTATGTGACGCGCAACGGGTGAATGACCGAAGACTCGATATAGAAAGCGCCCGCTGATTGGTCAAATCTTGGAGGTCAAGACGGGCGGGGTCTTGCCTAATTAATCAGCGAATCTGTTCACGCGTAAGGTTGGGCTGGAGGCGGGGTCTTGCCTAATTAATCAGCGAATCTGTTCACCCATAAGGGATGGGCAGGATGGGTCCAGTCCTAAAGCTGACAAATTCGGTATATTTTATTAATTGATTGTTACAATCCAACGTTGTTGTTTACATTTCTCGAAAACTTGCTTCTGATAGTTTTCTTTTTCACCACAACTTGCTAAAACATAAATATTGTTAGAATGTAATTATTATTTCTAATTTTCCCATGAAATGCATGTCAAGAAGAATATTGTTGCCCCTCAAAATGGCGTCGTTGTACACAGTGCCCTCATTCGCTCGAAAGAAATATGGCCCGTTTGGGTACTCACCTCGATGGGGTAGAAAACAGAAATAATGGAAAAGGCCATCATGCTTGCCAGTGAAGTCAGCACAGCGCTGGCAAATGTGGCTTTCTGCTGGTAGGTGTATTTGGCTCCCGCGGGTTTCTCCCCGGAGCTTGTGTCGGTTTTGTCGTTTTCTTGGTCTGCTCTGTCCTGATTGGCCAAAGATAACGTGGGCGGGGCGTCATGGGACGGGGCTTCTCCGGTTGAATTTGCATATTCTGTCGATGATGCAGCAGCGTTATTTTCGACATTGTTTTCCATGGCTCTGATAAAATAATTCGGACCGAAAACAAATCAGAAAATAACCACGAATGTTTATTAGGTCTATTAAGTTGAGAACTGTAGGCATTTTGTTTAAAGAATAATAGAGTCTGAAAGTTCAATCCCATAGAGGCGCGCTTCCGTAACCGTGAATAGGAACATTATCTTGCAAAAACTATAAAATAATGCACTAATTTTTGAAACAATGAAAAGGACTTTGTAAAATTGTAACTAGTAGGCCATGAACACTGAAATGATGCCTGATTTGAAAGAGAAATATCGTGCCAAAAACTGACCTATCACTACAAAAAAATATAAAATGCACTAATAAAAGTGAACACGGTGTACTCGTACATGCATGAACGCATTTTTTGACAAGTAAGATTTGAGGTTTTGCGTGGTGGAGATACTAATAAATGAAAGGTTTTCGGAAACACCATGTGCGAATAATTTCTCAACTAAGAGAATGGTTCGGAAAAGAAACAGAGGCATAAACTCGACGTTTCGGTCAGTGTGTTTTGACCGTCTTCAGGAGAGTGCCTAAATTCTAAGGTGTTTAGTTTCTTAGAGTTTAGGCACTCTCCGGAAGACGGTCAAAGCATACTGACCGGAACGTCGAGTTTATACCTCAGGTTCTTTTCAGAACCATTCTCTTAGTTGCAATTATTCGCGTATTGTGTTTCTGCAAACCTTTCATTTACTTGAATTTTGTGACGGTTATCGGGTGAAAATTGAAAATTAAATAAGAGACTAAGCTGTTTTTTAGAATGAATATTTTTTTTTAAATAAACTTGAAGGACTCATTGGTACTTTATCATAAAAAAATAACCGCTTAAAAGGACTGTATTCAAGCCAGCACGACTGAATTGGAACCCGTCGGCTGTAGGTAAGTAAATCTCGGCGTCGTTTATAAATGTTGCGTTCTTAGGCAAAACTGCAATGTGAGACTGACAAACTTGAACGAATAAGGATATCGAACAGAATTGCCGGAAAGGTTGCTTACAAATAATTCGTTTTTACTCATCTGCAAGTGATTTCTCAACAGTTTTATTGAGGAATATGAAGGTCAAACTCTGAACATAGATGAATGTTTCTTGGGGAGATTACGGTTAGAAATCATTCTGACAAAAAAAATATAGCTAAGGAGAAATTCAAGGGCAACCCTCGTCGAGTGACCTTTTGCTTTCAGGCTCTGTCAAAGGAAACGGGTCAACTCGTTCCCAGGTTAATGCGTACCCGTGTCAACCCCTTCCCAACACTTTCGATTCGTATCCAAGTCAGTTTGCATCCCAGTCAACTCGTACCCTCCTGTGCGTGGCTCAAAATATTTGCCCTATTGAAAAAAATACGTACAGGGAAACGAAAATGTACACATGCAAGTGCTTCCTTTTAATGCGTTTACCTTGCAGATCGACTGTCGATTTTCACGTAGTTCGGAGCATATAGGCCTACAAACAATGGACGACCTCTACATGTAGTTTACCCGGACGTTTTGTCCGTTAACAGTTGTGTATACCACCGGATATAAACGTGCACATGTATATTTGCAATATGTAAAGTCACTCGATTTAGTATTCACATATCCTCAATTCTAATGCTGCAATTGTCACAAAATGTTCACACAAATATTGACTATAATGACGCTACTCCAAGTGTCTATAGACGGTTTCCTACACAGAAAGGGGGTCATTGCATGAGGTGGAATTCCATATTCTGAGGCCACATGAATGTCATTTTTAATTTGCAATGACTCATTGTAGGACAAATTCAGAACCAACACGGCCGCGGCCGGCTTCAGGATAGGCCTAGACCTACTATCAAAATTCCAACCATAAAACAGATCAAATTTGCTGCCCAAAAGTCCTGATGTAAGTTGATCCTGTCTAGAGATATCTGTCCACAATTCTCTAAAAACAACAAATACTTGTTTGCAACTATATACGTACATGGGCAAGTCGCAACTGTTCTCCTTGATCCGTTGTCCCTCAAAAAAGCGATGGGTGCGTGGAAGTTGGGTTCGTCAATGGTCATAGTACAATCGTACTAAAATGGCGTTCAAGTTCCTATGCCTCAACTGGCTGCTTCAAAAGCTCTAGAGCGTACAATAAAAGCCTGCCCCTTTTCAAGGACTAGTATTGTATGACACTTTTTTTGTTGAGCACTGTTACCTTTGAAAAATCCCTCCATTGCCTTCGTAGGCTCTTCGTTGTACTGCGAACTAACGCATATACTATTGAACTATGTATATAGTGGTTCAATGCATACGCAAAAGCTTATGCAGTGCACGATAACCATTCATTGAGTATAATTATGTCGGTAAAAATCAGAGTGAAAACCATTCGAAATTCAACCGATTATTATTAAACACAAATTAAAAAGGATCTCCACTTAAAGCTAATTAATATTCTACGGAAGTGGCCCGCTTGTGCAAAAGTGAAAAAAAAAACGTGATTGTAAAACACTGCATGCATTTTTGATTGTGATTAATTAGTGTTTTTAGACAACTTCTGTCTGAGTTTAATGCTAAGTTAAACAACACGATCTCGAGTGTATAGAAAACGGCCAAAAACTGGGCCGAGTCCATGTGGCATGCAGAAAGTGGGGCAAAATGATCGCGCACTGACGTATTATACGGTTTGAGCTCACCCGAGTCGATAACTCCAACCCAAATTCAGTCAATAAACAATCACAAACGTCCACGGAAATAACTTGAAATGATCACAAGAACTAGAGATATGGTGATTAACTGATATATATATATAAAGCAAGATTGTGCTGATTCTAGCTTGTAACTTCTAATTAGCGAAAGTATAGTGAATTAAAAAATGCACTGTACATTTTGTGCGACAGAAGACTGAACGACGTTAACCAAAGGAATGCTCAGGGGCTGCCCGTAAACTAACACATAAACAAGACCCGTTAAAGGTGCAGCCTTCGACTTAAAGGGGCACGCTACACTTACTGATCTTTTAGCCATGGAGTAAACAAGCCTGCGACTGCTGTACAAAACAAATTGAAGTTGATCACATGTGTATGCTATCAAAACAAATGTTATAACCAGTTTCCTTGCATGCGTGTATCAATGGGGGGGGGGGGGGGTGCGTATCAAGGATGGGGTGTCACCCCCAACACCCCACGCAGCTCTGTGAAACATTTATTGTTTCATAGAACTTCATTGAACATAATGCGACTCCCCCCCCCCCGCTCTGACACCCACAAACAATACTATTAATTATTTCCACATATGTGGACAAATTATGGACAGAGCCAGCATGGTTATGGATTTTAGTCGGTATTGACAGTCTTCTTCTTTCGTATTGCGTGCATAGCCTACAGTTGTGGGTCAAGGGTACATCCAGGCCAGGGCATCATCGGTTATTGTGTTGATTAATAATCGTCGTATTTGAACAGCGACCCCATTAAAAGTATTGTGGCGGTCGTGCCGACAGCAACCCCGAGTACGGTCCTCGGCCGACGTCAGCGAGCGGTCAATTCTGAGAAGGCCAAGGGAGCAGGCCCGTTTTGGGGCAGTCTACCGCCAGGCGCAGCAGGGGAACAACTTTATTTGCGGGCGGGTCTATTACGCCTGCAGCACTCGCACGAGCACACAGGGTTAACAGGGCAGTGGAAGGAAGACGGGGCACCTCTAAATCAAACACGGGACTCTTCTATTTAGGTTGACACTTGTTTATGATTAGCTACTCAGGGCGGACGGTAAATCATATCTAGGCCTTGACAGGTGTTGGTCACCTTCCCAGGTGCCTCCCCTAAACAGGTGCGGGTTTCCTAAACAGGTGCGAGTTCCCTGTACAAGTTATAAATCTTCCCCACTATAAGTTAACGTCCACTCACCACTACGGCCTCGCTACCTCTTCCCGTGGACGGAGTTCCTCCCCTCTTCCATTGACTGGACTATCGCGCCCCCGCTTACTTATCACATTAAGAGCTTCACTTACGAACACAGCTGCCTACTACCACTAACATTACTATGGAATTCGGGGTGTTCTACTTCATTGGTTCACTAGTGTAGCGAAACGCCAGTTGAATAAGAGGTCCAGACGCTGGTTTTATTCACATAGCCTTCTGGAGGGACAACTCTCCGTTTTTATTGCTCAAGATTCTCCACTCAAACACCACAACTTTGTCCACCAAAAACCCGTTTTCTTCTGTTATCTTTCCCACACACCTCCATATCCATGTATCAATTCACCCAAAGGTCAAACCATGTATCAATTCCCTAAAGGTCAAACCTTATTCATGGCTTAAAAGCGCGGGCGAAACTAACCTTTGACCCTACTAATACGGGGCAGAAGTACCTAAAAATAGAATACGTTGTACATGGCATACAGGCTCGTTAAACTTAATACCAGTCGCCTGCTATGTGATCGCCCATTATGTGTGCTTTATGTAAACCCACATCGCTACATTCTCCCATACTTGGCCGATCTACACCTGGAGATCGATAATAATATTATGAATTAACTGTAACAATATGGTCTGATACCCCCTTTTTTCCAATGTATGACCTACATATTCTTATTTTAGATAAACAAACAAATTAACGTTTAATTTTTTTTATTTTCTTTCTGGTTAACATTTACTTCTCAGTTAAAATTATGTTTTTATAAAAACTGCTAAACTCAGTACAACAATATTTTGTATTATCCGAGAAAAGCTTCCTACTTATTTACTCCCAAAGGTGTGCACGAAAAAATGCAATCATGCGGCGGAGGGTTCTCTGATATTGTCTACGTCCAGGCTCATTGAAATGAACCCCATCAAGATTGTATCGAGGATGTTCTAAGCCTCGATGGGACCAGCACCACCAACGATCTTCTACCAACGTTCCAGCCTCGAGTAGGCCATTGAATTCCACCACCCACAGATTGAATGTCTCCACATCCATCGGATTATGAAACAACCCCCCCCCCAGTCGTTGGAAGAACCGGAAAAAATACGATAGCTTCAGGAGTTATTCCTTCATCTTTAATTCGCCGAACAAAATTACAGAGTTTATCATAAACTGCAGACGGGACAGCTTCTTGTGCACAAAGGTCATTACTTCCCAAGTCAATTACAATTTTTTTTGGATTGAGCTTGCTTAGCTTTCTAACATAAATTCTCATTTTGGCGTCAATCCGTGAAAACGAGAAGCCTCATCCCTCTCCAAAACAGCTCACTGACACAGATTCCTTGCCGAACTCAAACTTGAGTTCAAATTCTTTTCTGCCACCTAGGCGTTTTACAAAACTGTGTCCAAAAAGAACATAAGACATCTTATACTCAATGCTTAACACAGTGTAGTGGTACATTTCAGATTCTCACTCAGGGAACTGGATATCCCAAGCCTTCCCGCAGAGAGGACCTGACAACTCGATGAGCTGGGTTGTTTACCACCGTAACACTATTGCAATTTAACCCAATAAAAAACTTACTAGAGTATGCCAAATGGAACCCAAATGTCCAGGGTACAACGAACCTAAGTCACCTCGGAGAAAACTGGATAACCCGAGTCTTTCCTACCGAGGGTTCTTAAACTGGCAGTTATTCCCCAGGCATTTTACCAAATGACCCACTCATTTGAATACAGAACGTGGCAAGTGATGAGGGTTGGAGTGCACACCCCGGGTGCATCGCTGTGACCTCCTTAGTGGCACAACCCCCCTACCGTGTTGTGTGGATGGCTCCCATACTTGATCCACACTTACCCCTTCCCTTTCATTGAAATCTACAGGTCTACTCTCGCTTGGGCCCGTCGCAGGGGAAGGTACAGGGTCATTGTCAGAGTCGGTTTCCTCTGAACTCTCTGATCCCGACCCTTCCGAAGGGTGCAGTCTCAGAATGTTTCTATTTACAGTGCGCTCATTCCCCCCTCGACATGGACGTATTCGATACACATCCCCCTCTTTGTTCATTCCGGTCACAATATACGTCTCTTCATGGTATGCGTTTTGCAGCTTGTGCCTACCCTTGAATGCACATCTTTTCAAGAGGACTCTGGCACCTGGTTTAATTTGTTCACAGCGCTTCATCTTAGAATCACGGTAGGCTTTGTTGCGTTCAGCCGATTTTTTGGTCATTCCTTTCACAAGTTCGCCAGCCCTATCAATTAGCTCCGTTTGGGTTTCTACAAGGTCCTGATCCCATGCCGAGTCCGTGCGACCAAGTATTTGGTCAAATGGTATCAGCGGCTCCCGCCCGAACATAAGCCTATAAGGGGCTACGCCAGTGATGGCGTGCGGGGTTGCGTTATACACATACACTAAGTGGGACAGAAAATCTGGCCACCTGTGCCGTGTACGCTCGTCAACAGATTTGACAAGACCAAACAGCGTGCGATTAAATCTCTCGGCTTGGGCTTTGCCCTCAGGATGATAAGGGGTGGTGTGTGACTTGTGTATCCCATACAATGCGCATAATTCTCGAATTACATCCCCCTCAAAATTTCGCCCTTGGTCGCTGTGCAATCGGCTGGGAATCCCGAATTGTGTAAACCAGTGGTCTCTGAGGGCACGTGCGCCTGTAACGGCAAGCTGGTTTTTACATGGGACTGCTTGTGATAATTTGGTGTACACATCCTTCATTATCAACACATCTTCATACCCCCCACTTCCCCGATCAAATTTCACAAAATCAATGGTCAGAACTTCTAATGGCCTGAAGGCAATCAGATGCCTCATCGGCGTTCTAGGTTGGGGTTGCGTCTCCTTAGCCACGATGCACCGCTTGCAATGCTTGATATGACGGCGTACTGTTGCCGTCATGCGCGGCCAATAGACCCGCCTTCTCAAAAGCGCGCTAGTACGGGCTAAACCCTGATGACCCCATTTGTCATGACAACCTTCAAGCGCGCGATGTTGTAGGATTTTTGGCAGCAGGACCTGACAGATCCCACCATGCAGCGGATCGTTAACCCTCCTATGGAGGACACCGTCACGAACCACAAACCGAGGCCATTGCCATAACCATAAGTTAACCTCTCGCGGATGCTTCGGCCCATTAACCAGCTCCCCTGGGACCAAATTTTGTTCCCAATATTCCCACACAACCTTGAGCTCCGGGTCTGCGCGCTGTAGT